AATTTTTACATACTATTAGACTCTAACATCGATTAAATATGCCTTTGAAATCCCTAAATTGTCAAAATTTTCGGGGGCTTCGCCACCTGGACTACTTTCGAAACTTTTTAATCGAAGCTCGACCACGCCCACTTTGCTTTCGTCGGGGAAATCTGACCCCTCGTTGGGGTATCGGGCCCCCACCCCCTGTCGTGAAAATCCTGGCCCCACCCCTGTGTTTTCCCCCTAACAGTAGCAATGCATGCTCTTGCTCTTGGTTCCTAATGCTAGCGACATAATATTTAATACCAGTATTATTATTACCAATCGAAATTGAAAAGTCTGTAAAAATTGATAAAACCAAATTAGCGAGGATACAACTAACTCTTTAACATTGATACTCAGATATACTACAGTAGAACCCCTCCTGTGGGACACCCATTTTAAGGGGACACTATTTTGGATGGCAGCAACATAATATTTACATGAGCCAAGAGCAATACTCTTGCTCTTGGCTCATGGTAGCAACATAATATTTAATATTATTACAGTATTACCAAGAGAATTTGAAAAGTAAAAAATGATAACAATTAGCGAGAACAATACTCAGATATAATACTACAGCAGAACCCCTCCTTTGGGACACCCCTATTATGGGGACACTCCTATTAATGGGACACTTATTTTGGTTCTAAATGTGTCGCCTTAATGGGGGTTCTATTGCATTAATTTGCCTATAATTATAACATAGGCCTATAAACTATAAATATACTGTACAAACTTTGAGTAGTCTCCTCGAGTTTATAAGAGACCCAGTTCCTGCTCTCCGCTAACATTCTTCATAAGACAATGGAAACCAAATTTCGCAATGTCTAAAACCAAAATAGTTCGATCGAAATTGGAAAGACACGATGCCTGTCATAATGTGGTAACAGTATTTGATGACGTATCTCGTGGGAAATAAAAATGGCATGAGTGATTTCGAAAACAGCAAGTTAAGCATGCTTTAACGTTGGAGACATTGTCATTTTGTTCTGATGTTAATTGAGGAATTTGGCTGTTTCTGAGCATGGCTCTGAGTAAGTTTTTGTTTTCTACCTGGTGACTAAAACCATAACCGTGATATGGCAGGTGCGTCAGATCTATACTGTCTTCAGATTTCTTATTCGGTTGTAGACAGTATAGTATAAAATAAGTTTAAATTTGACCATATTATTCCGCTATTAATTAGGCCTATCACGTTGATTGACAAGCCGAGTGACACTTTTGACAGATGAGTCGTCTGCAGCGTCAAACAATCGGATGCGGTTCGTGTTGTGTACACTTTCAGACAAAACAGTATAGAAATAAGAGGAGACTTCCAATACTTTAATATCTTTGTCCGTTTGGTTTAAAAAAACAAGGCCATCTTTTTACTACCCTAATGTAGCTTGATAATTCTGATATAAACAATTTATTATCTTTTCATTCTACTGAAAACAAGTTAGATTATCACACCTTGACTTCGTCTAATCAATCCAAAATATTCTGGCTATGTAATGTCAATCACATTTGGCTCACGTCAATCATGGGATGGGTCATTATTCTTTATGGTCAATACAAGATTTACGAGCGTATAAGTAGATTAAATATTCTGTCTAATTCAAGGTAAGTAATCCTACTCGAACCTTTATTTTGCATTGAAGTACACGACAAAATTATACTTTCATAGTATAGATTTGTGTGAAACATTGAGAACTTCCCCCTTAAAATGAACTCGGCTTATTGGCACTCCCTCTTGAAATCAAGTTCGCCCAATGCCAGACAAACTTTGGGACCTGGAAATGTGGAGTACCTTGGTATGATCTTTAATCCAATTCGAGGGTTAACTTGCTGTTAAGGTTTAAGATCATTGGTTAGTTGAAAAATTGGTCTTAAATTAGAGGAGTCTCGGGATTACAGGGGTCTCAAATTGGAGGGTGAACTGTAAAGTAAAATACAGCATTTACGGCACATTAAACAATATAAAATATCGAATTTCATTTATAATGTTAAGCCAAAAAACAGAGCTATACTTGAAATTGAAGCGATAACACTATACTTGGAGGGCGCACTATTATTTATTGGTTATCTGTTAGCAAAGTATAAATCGTACAGCCACAATAGATATACACGAGTACACAGTATTCAAAAGTTCATTCCAAACATATAGGCCTACAAATAATATTAGTGTAAATATATAATTATGCACGTAGCTTTAGAGTATATACAATAGGGTATTATTGGCATTACTTACTTACGTACTGTACTTTCGTTAATGAGAAAATTCATTCCAATCTTCTTGAAATTTATTTTGCTTTTATTATTCAGAAATCTATTCATACAAGATAAGGCTTATAACAAGTCTCCCTACCCTAACCAATTTAAATACAGTACTCCATTACAGTAATACCAATGCGTTTAATAAGTTTCGTATTGCAGTACAAATGTATGGGTTTATTTTTTACTCATTAATCTCATTATGTTTGTATCTGCAATTTGCTTTTAATTATTTGGTGATTATTATAATAGTAATTATAAAGCGCCTACTGAATCACAGATCCATCTAAGCACTTTACATTAGGTCTTAAATTATGGTGGAAAAATATCGCCCGCTGGACACTAACCAGGTATTTTTGAGTCTAGGTTTTGGGGTTAGGAATTACAAAGTTGAGCTTAACTACATCCGCTTAACTAAAAATATATTTAAAAAAAAACTATATATATTACAAACACATATACCGTAACACCTCGAATAAAAGCCCAATGTGCGTAATCTCGATAAAAAGTCTATCTCGAATTGAAGGCACCTCTTTAATTTGCAAAAGTAGCCTCGAAAAGAAGCCATCCCGAAAAGAAGCTCATGAGCATGAGCTTCTACTTCAGGCTACTTTAAGTCATAATTAAAAAAATATTTCTTGGGTTTTTGTAACAAGATGTCATGGTTGAAACATTTTTAAATGGCCCTATTGTTTTATAGTAGTAATTCCCAAAATTTACAGCATTCATTTTGAAAAGATGCCCCCACCCCCACCCCACCCCATCACCTCTTTACTTTGCAGAAGTAGCTTCGAAAAGAAGCCCGGAGTTAAGGTTTTACAATATTACTTCCAGCATACATAAATGCACATTGACGTTACAATTCTTCCAAATTAAAAATTAGATTAAGCGAGTAAATATTTCACAGATTTAGGCCTTTCAATTTACTAAAGATCAACTTCCAGCTTATATTCCTTCATTATTCCCGATTCCTAAAATATTAATGATTATTATCTAAAGAACTCAAATTTCCTCCATGTTCCCTTTGTTAGACTGAAAATAAATAATTTATTATTACAATCCATTGACCTAAATTATGGAATGATGTCGAAAAAAATAATGTAAAACATGTAATAATGTCCATCTATTTAAGTTAACTCTTTTATTACCGTTTTATCCTTGATTTGATTTCTGTTTTTCTTTTCTTTTTTGCCTCATTTGGGTCAAACTAAGACAAGCTTTGCTTCTGTGTTTGATCATTTAGTCTACTTTAATTACTAGATTATTTGTATTTTTGTTCCTTTCTATGC